TGCAAGAGGATGCAAGATGATGCAAGACAATGCAAGATGATGCGAGATTTTGTAAGATGATGCAAGATTTTGTAAGATGATGCAAGACAATGCAAGACAATGCAAGACGGTGCAAGAGGGTGCAAGATGATGTAAGATGATGCGAGATAATGCAAGACAATGCAAGGTGATGCAAGACAATGCAAGATGATGCGAGATTTTGTAAGATGATGCAAGAGAATGCAAGACAATGCAAGACTGTGCAAGAGGGTGCAAGATGATGCAAGATGATGCAAGACAATGCAAGACGGTGCAAGAGGGTGCAAGATGATGCAAGATGATGCAAGATGATGCAATATGATGCAAGACAAAGCAAGACCATGCAAGGCGATGCAAGGCGATGCGAGATGATGCAAGATGGGGCAAGACAATGCAAGACCATGCAAGGCGATGCAAGGCGATGCGAGATGATGCAAGATGATGCAAGATGATGCAAGACAAAGCAATATGATTGAAGGTTGTGCAAGACGATGCAAGATTATGTGTTATTTCCAAAATAAAACGAAGTGACGTATGTTATACGCACCATCATGGTACCGAGCTTTTTTGTGCCATTTGCGTGGAAGTTTCGATAATAAAATGAATTATCATGTGTCATACACAGCATCATGGTACCGAGCTGTCTTGTCCCATTTATGGGGAAATGTCCATAATAAAATGAAATGACATATGTCATAGATGGCATCATGTTTGTGAAATACCAGGGATCGACAAACAAATATCCTCAACATTTGTTGCATCTCTTGAGGTTTCTGTAGGGGCTGTCCGTGAGATCTCGGGAATTGCATAGTGATCATGCCAATGTTCGTTTGTGATGTAGTGGATCTATGTGTTATGTTTTCATTGATATGCATGAGCAGCGGGGGAAAAAAACTGGTTCCGTTGGGATCATTATATGGTACCGAGCTTTTGTGCTGTAGTTTTGTTGCCTGCAGGCAATTGTAGACTGTCGGCATTGCAAAAACGTCAAGTGCGGCTGTTTTGTTTGATTTTTTTAGCAGGAGCCGTGTCACGATGATGCTCTTGCGTCTGGTGCAAGTGTCTTGTGGGGCTGGCTGAAACGATGTTTGGAAAGTCCTTCGGCGCCTGATACTACATTGCTTCGAGATGCTGTTCCAGAAGGAAACGATCGCATGCGTATTTTGGCTGTTTTGGCCGACAAGACCATGGGTCAGGTGGAGGGATTGCATCTTTCGCTTGCTTCTTTGGATGCTCGTGTGGTGGATGCGACGTTGCCGCTTCTTGCTACTTTCGATGAAGTGCAGCAATCGTTGCCCAGCAAAGCTGTCATGGATTCTGTTGATTTATTGGATTTACCAGGTTACTTCGCCTCCATTGGCATGGAGCATTTGCTGCGGCATCAGGTTGTGGCATTGTTGTCCTGTGTTTTGCTGAGTGTATCGGAAGAAAGACGACTTCAATGGTGTCGTCTGGTGGGGTTCACCATCGACTCGGACATGTTGGAAGTGGCGAGCCGTTTGTGGGATGTCCACACACTTACAGCTGTTTGTGAATGGGACAGTTCTGGTGGTTATGAGGATCGTGACAATGTGGTGGAGGTGGGTGGTTGTCGAAACTATTGCATGGCTCGTGTTATTTTTTTTGTTCATGTCTTGCCGGTTCGCGGTGGTTCTGTCTTTGTGTTGCTTGCAGGTGGTCCTTGGCATCCTGTGGGGCACGAAGGCGCTGGTGGTGGATGATGAGGGCGAGGTGCGCCGGCGTCGAGGTAAGCTGGATGCTGCAGACGCGACGTACCTGCGATGCCTGATGCGGAGATATGGCTGGGAAAGATTTGAGCAGGACGTGGAGGTGTGCTATTGGTCCGAATGCTTTCCATCTGCTCGCTATGGGACCAAGAAGTGTTTACAGTTTGCTTGGCTTTTGCTGACGCAGTTACTTCATCCTCGCGAGACGCCTGCATTGCAAGCTGTGCGCTCACGTCACGATCCAGTGACGGTCGGAGAACTCCGTGATTCCAGGACGAGTGAGTGTCGTTGTTGTATGTTTTGTGTAGTTTTCTTACCTTTGTCACCTTTGTGAATAACAACATCATGGTACTGAGCTTTTTTTGGCAATTTATGTAGGTATTTGCATGATAAAATGAAATAATCTATGTCATGTAAAGCATAATGGTACCGAGCTTTTTTTTGCTTGATGAATGAGATAACGTACGTTATTTATGCATCATGCGCGTGATCATGGTAGCCAAATCTTTTTCGGACATCCGAAATTCTTATATGCGCGCTGGATGTTCGTGAAATATCAGGGATTGGCAAAGAGATATCTTCTCGAGGTTTCTGTAGGGGCTGTCCGTGAGGTCTCGAGGAATTGCATACTGATCATGACATCGTGTGTACAGGAGCGGAGTGTCTCCGGTTGTCGTTCAATTGGAACTGGATATACGACAATGGCAGGAAGTGCAGCAGTGCTTGCGGTTGCCGACTTCAGATGAAGACGGTGTGCTGTTCAAGCGGGTGTCGGAGTATTTGGAGAAGGAGAAGAAGGTGCGCTGTCGTTCCATGAAAGTTGCATTCCCTGGCGATGTGGACAACATCAAGGAGTTGAAGTTGGATTGTTTGGAGGCTTCGGATGATGCAGAGAATGGTATCAAATGGAGATCCGACACGGAACGCAACTTGATGCAGTCGATTCCTGGGTGGACTGAAGGAACTCTGTCCAAGGCCGCTTTTGTGCCATTGAGTGCCATCCTTTTCGGCGCTGGCACTTCTGTTGTGGAAGGTGTTCCGGAGGTGGATGTGGAAGGGGATGGTAATGCAGTTGTTCCTGACGGCACTGGCTCTTCATGTGTGGAAGTTGCTGAGGAGGCAGATGTGGAGATGGATGTTGCTGCGGGCATTGCTATGGAGGCTTTGCCAGAGAATTTGCGAGTTGCCAAGAAAGTTTTTGCTGTGTTGGAAAATGTGAATATGAAGTTTGAGATCAAGCTGCGTGAAGTTGCGCAGATGTTGGACTGCAGTCCAGCTATCACTGCTATTGGTGAAGCGCTGTCTCGCCTGGTGTTATGGTCTTACGATGATGATGATGTCCAGAATCCGCTGGAGCGTTACCAGTGCAGACTGTGCAATTTTGGAACTGGCGGACAGAAAGAGTTTTTGGAACATTTAGCGGAGAAACACAGTGGAGGTGCCGATGCCAGCCGTGTGCTCATCGAGTATCGTAAGAAGGTCATTGGACTGTTGACACACTTGGGCCCCACAGTTTCTTGTCTGCGCTGACCTTTTGTGGGATCGGGGTACTGAGCTTTTTGTAGCTATCTGCGTGGAATTTGTATCATAAAGTGAGATAATAGTTTTAATTCACGGCGTCGGGGTACTGAGCTTTTTGTGTTGTATTTCTGTTAACACGATCGGAGTAGGGTAGTGTTAAATGTTTGATGTGAGATATCATGGTACCGAGATTTGCTGATGATGTTTTCATGAAGTGATGCATCAGGTCACCAGCTTTGCTTCGCAACGTCGCCTAATGGAGAATGCTGATGAAAGGCTTCGACAGCCCGAGCAAGGAGGTCGCTTTGAAACTGCATGCGTGGTGTGTGCTCGCAGGTTTTGGCGGGAGCAGCTGAAGATGTTAATCTTATTCCAAGATCCGGCTGGCAGCACCGAGTTGGAGAATGGTGCGGTGGATGCGATTCCGTGTGGTCAACAGGAACGCTTGTGTCGAATTCTTGGAGTTGAAAGATACAGTCGAAGATGGCCGAAGATCCCTTTGGAGGCTCTGCATGCTTCGGCTGTTGAACATCCATACTGCAAGGGGGAGCATTTGCTCTTACACAAGCGTCGGATGCCGGTGGACTTGAAGGACCCTTACCACTGACTGCACGGGTTTGTTGCTGTCATTGAGGGATCACGGTATCATTTTTTTTGTAGCTAATTGTATGAATTTGTGCTTCATAAAATGAGCTAACATTTTCTGCTCACGGCATCGGATTACTCATCTTTTTTTGGGTGAAGTTCTGGTAATATGTTCGGATGTCACTGCAATTGCAGGATCCTTGCCTGGTGTGCAGTGACTGCAAGGGCTCGTTGATGTCATCGAGTCTGACGTTGCCTCGGCACAGCTTGGCCAATGACTTTTGGATGGGCGAGCAACTGTCCGCACTGCGTGGCCTGGCCTCGGCCACGAAGCGACTCTTGCCGATGACACGGGCGTGCATGCAGGTGGTGGTATTGCAGCCCGGGCATTTGTCGCGTGAGGAACGTCAGCATGGTTTTGTAGGGAATTCGATTTTTCTCCCTCAAGCAAAGCCGTCTTCAGTGCTGACCACGCTCCCTCCAAAAGATGTTGATATGCAAGATGCAGTTTTGTTTGTTTTGGTTGGAAGCCAGAAGGATGCAGTCAAGGGCTCTTCTTTGTTGCGTGCCCCGAGAGATGAGTACACTGCCGCTGTTGAATGTTTGAGGAAAACGAATCCTTTCTATGCGGAGGTGGAACTGGGAGATGGCAGTGATGATCTTTTGGAGGGCTGTGTCTTGGAAACTGCGGAGGATTCTGCATTGGCGCAGGAGTTGCTGCAGCGAGGTCCTGCAGACGCACAGGGACAAGATGCGTCGGATGATGAGAAAATGGACGGTGCGAGTGAAGAAAAGCGTGAAGGCCTAGATGCACCAGGCAGGGTTCTGAATTGAATTTGGTTTTATTGATTGCTTCATGGTAGGGACTGTCCGAATGAAGCGATCGAAAACGATGTTAATATTGAGTTTTGCTTTGTAACGTCTGCGTTTCGGAACCATTTTGTTTTGTGTGGGTGAAAGTAAATATGGAAAACTCACGCACACATTGCAGGTCATTTGATGTCTTCCATTGTTGGCTTGAACGATGGTGCGGATGAACAGAACAAGTGGGTGCGTGTGTTGAAGGATGTGGAGGAGGTCTGTGTGAGACAGGGTGGCCGGCGAAGGAGCGATGCTGCCGATGTGCTTCGCAACCGCATCAACAATGAAATGCCGGCCCCGGATGCATCTGTTCCTGGGGACCTTTTGGGTCGTGAAGGAGCTCAAGAGAGGCGAACACTTCAAAAAATTCGGAGAATTCAGAAGATTGCCCGTGGCACGGCTGAAAATGAGCGGAATGTGGAGTCAGCCATGTTCCAAGTCAAACCTTCCAAGTTGGTTGTTCCGACCAGAGACGAACCGCTGTCGATGTTTGATCCGGCCACCTGGGGCATGTCGTTTCCGGACTTGTTTCCATGGGGTGATGGCTTGCCTTTTTTGAAGCGTGAAGCCAACATGGATGCAACAGAAGTGTTTCGATATTTGTTGCTTCGGGAAGAACTGCATTACAGTGAGGGTGATGCCCTGTTGCCAAGATGGTCGCTTTCAGCACTTTGGATTTGGTTTATGCAATTGTTGCTGAGTTTTCTGTTTTCCCAGGATGGTTTGGTAGTTGTGTTTGGGTTGTTTAAGTTTTTGAGTGTTGTGGCCTTTGTTCCAAGTATGCGGGCAGGAGACGTTGCTTCCAGTGATGTACGACGTGCAGCGTCGATTACAGTTGATGCGTGCGACGAAAGCGCATGTGATGCGTCGTGGCTTTGGCAAACATTGTCGTGTTATTTCTGAAGTCAACACGGACCAATTGCTCAAGGCAATGGCATTGCACGGAGACAATGCGGACCTCAGGGAGTTGTTGCGAGATCCGCAGGTGGATGTGGCCTTGAAGCGAGCATTGGGAGGAGTGCTTCAGGCAACTTCGAGCATCATTGGCATGGAAGGGCATCGCAGCCAGATCCGGTTGCGTGGTCATGCGGCTGGGTGGCATTATGGTTCTGCGCATCTGTTCGTCACGCCCAACATCGCAGATATGCGCTCGTCCTTGCTACTTCAATTGCACTGGCAGAATGCAAAAGTGGAAGAGTGCAAAATTGATTTGGACTGGGAGGCGGAGATGCCAGAATTGCCCAGCGCAGCTGCTATGCGACGGATTGTCGCGAGCGATCCCGTCGCTCAAGCGCGTTGCTTTGCCTTGATGATGGATTTGTTTTGTGAGGAGGTGTTGGGCATTCTTCCACCTTTGGCCAAGGGAAGTTTTCGTGTGGGGGTGGCAGCAACCTTCGAGGATGGCATTGCGAGTTCTCTGCAGGGAGGTGTTTTCGGTGATATTGTGGCGTTGAATGGCCGTTGGAGACTCAGGGTTGTGGTTCTTTGCACCCTCACATGCTTATTATATTGCTGGGACACGACTTGGGAGATCGCTTGCGGAAACTGATGCATCGGGTGCAGCATGGTGAGTTGGTCGTTGAGTTGCAGCGGTGGAGTCGTCGTGTTTTGGAGGCTGTGCAGCGCTTTCAGTATGATTCTCAATTGGCCTTGTCGGAGCAGTTGAGCAGTCCGACACAGCCACTGCCTTTGAATGAACGTCAGCGATCAGAATGCGGTCACCAGTATGAATCCACGCCTTTGGTGCCTAGGGCGGATCCGTGGCTGGCAAGGTTTTGACATTGACCGGATGCTATGCTTCTTTGCGACCCAAGTATCTGCGACGCAGTGAGCGTTCTGCGGGAGATGGTCTCGAGTGGAAGAAAAAAATCTGTGAGGATTACAGACGTTTGGTGATCCAGAATCATTTTCACAAATGCACGAAATCATGTTTCAAAAAGTTCCTCGCAATGAGCTTGGCAAAGTTGCCGTGGTTGTTGTGGTTGTTGTGTTGTTTTGTGGTTGTTGGTTGTGGGTGTGCTTGTTTGGTGTCGTTATTTGTGAGCTACGTGTTGTTTCGGCTTGGTCATGGTTTTTTGTTCGGTTACATGTTGCACGGTTGCTGATACGGCATCAGTTTGTGTAAAACATCTTTGTGTAGAGTGGAAAAGAGACATCTGGAGTGTACAACGTGAATAGTTGGGTGTCAATTCGAAGAAGTATGTATATGTAAACGGGAAATGTCGCTTTGGCTGAGGAAAGCCGTGAAAGGCAAACGTGGGTGTCGCTTTGGTTGCTTTCACGTTGAAATGATTCTGGGCAAGGAGGACAAGCCGAAAGTGTTGTCGGAAAGGTTGGCCTCGAGTTGCGAAAGCAGGTTTTTCTCGGTTGCAATATGAGACAGTAGATTTGAAGGAGGTTGAAGAGTTCAAAAACGAAAACCCGCATGTGTTTCAAGCTCGGCGTGATCACCCTTTTGAAGGGATGTCGAACCCGGTGGCGCAAGCAGTGATGCGATGCAATGTGGATGTGAAGTACATTGGACGCAATTTTTCAGAAGCAGACCTTTTGAAGTTTTGTGATGGGAGCATAGACCAGGAGCCTGGAGTCGAAGTTCCTACTTCTGCATCTTCTCTGTTGGAACTGTCCGGGAGTGGATTGCAGGAGATGGAACTTCAACGCCCACTTGGTTCGTCTTCGGATGCCATATCGGGTGCTGATGCCCCACATGCAGAGCAACCTGTGTCGACTGAGTTGGATGCTTCGGATCCGCCGCCGAAGAAGCAATGCATGGGTCGTGTTTTGGACACAGAGCATAAGAAGATGCAGACGATGAGAAAGGCGCTTGATCGCATTCTGGTGGACCTTGCAAGAGATATGATGAATGTTGGTTTTTACACTGGTGAGTATGCTGCGAAGAAGTTTGAAATTTCGCGGAGTATGTTACCTGAATTGTATGCAGGACTGCTCACTTTGGGGCGGTCGAAACGGAAACTTTTGACGGCATTTTTTCTTACCGACTTCGTGTTGCAGTATTTTGTGCAAATGTCCTTAGTAAAGTAATGTAACATATCTGATTTGGAACATCACGGTACCGAGCTTTTTTTTGAGGATTTGTATGGGAATTCCTACAACGAAATGAGATAAAAATTGTCATTTACAACATTATGGTACTGATTATTTTTTGGCGTGTGCTTTTAATTTTGTTCTCAGTAAATGGCAACATTGAAGGAGTGCAGCGATTGGAAGAGGAGGAAAGGGAAAAAGCAAAGGAAGCTGCAGCGGGCACCGAGCAGGAGGTCCTGGAGGGGGACAGGGACCCTACTATGACAGGGCAACAGAGGCGTGCATTGACGATTTTGAGAAGACTGGCCTTTGGAATGAATCGTTGTGTGGCCAAATCCAACGGTGAAATGGCGTATCAGTTGCTATTCGAGCAGGAGCAACTGGTGACATATCGTGGCTACAACATGTTCTTCCGCTATGTGCCGTATGCAATCATGCGTTGCAGACATGAGGACATGGAGGAGGTTTTGCAAGCCAGGCCGCATCTCAATGGCTCGCCCTTGGATGTGCTTCCTGACCCCGAAGCAGAGGCACCAGTGGTGGTGGATGAGTTTGCGGAGGTTGTTGATGAGGGAGGTGATGTGCCCAGAGTCCAGCAGGTGCACGTGAACTTCAACCAGAAAGACGATTACTTGCACAGGGGCTCTTCGGTTTTGTTGCAATGCATGTCCCTTTTGATGTATTCTCGCTTCGTCCGCAGAGTTTCCAGGAACAAAGCCGGCAAGGTGGATGGAGTGAAGTTTTTCGACTTTGATGAACACTATGCCCACTTCAGTTCCTCCGTTCAGGATTGCTTGCGGTGGGTGGTCCTGTTTTTTTTTCTTACTTTGTTTGGTGTCTTTAAGTTTGATATTTGGAAAGCGTCAACAAGTTCGGGTGAAGATGTTTATTTCTGTGTTGAGGTGAAATCAAATTCGCAGGAAGTGAGAGCAGCAGATGACAGTGTAGTGGTGCCTTCAGATTTGCATCTTCCGAAGGATGCTGAGGTGCAGAAGTACGCAGCACACATGTTGGGATTATCCTTTCCATTCCCAACGTGTTCTGGAGATTGCAGTTTGTCACATCGATGCTTTGCTTGCCACACCATGGAAGAAGATGAAAAGCAAGGCGTTCTTTTTGCTCGTTTTACGCTGCTTTGGAAGCACTGGAAAAGTCACATGTCAATGAGGAGGTGTTTGGCGGAGGAAAGAGTTTTGGCCGGTTTGTCTGCTCCGGTCATCCGGGATGTTGCATCAGTCCGTTCGTATGTTGCTGGCATCGCTGACACCAGCAGTGCTTTTAGATGTTTGGAGAAGCTGTTCGGTGGAGCAGAAGGAGCGGATTGTCGCTATCATGACATTTTGCGCATCTGTGAGCGCGTTGCCTGGTTCGCAGCCTTGTCGGTTCCCTTTCATTACACTCAACTGACATCGCAAGAGTTCTTGGCCTATATTCAGACATCTTGGTTGGAGCGTTTCCAGCAGCACTGTGCTGCACGTCGTCTCAGCAGCAGTCGTCGGACAGCTGAGCGTTATGCTCTGATGACTGCTTTGGACAAGGAGGAGGACCTGGAAGATGACTCGGCCCCGCCGGTCATAGAAGGACGCGAGGTCGAGGATGATCTGCTACTGCAAGAAGAGTTGGACAACTTGGAACGTGCGCAGTGGCCGGTGGATGGAGAAGCACTGCACGAAGCTATGTTTCGGGAAGAGGATTGGATGAAGGTGTTGGGCAATCGAAAGCCATCTGTATTGCAGGACATGGTACCGAGATTTTTGGGCGATGTCCGTGGGAATTTCCCTGATAAAAGGAGATGATATTTTTTTTGTTTAACCTTGTTGATGATTCATCTGTCAGCGGGTGTGAGATGTGCCAATTAAAGCATGATGATGCAAATTGTTTTTGACAATTCTTGAGATATTGTTTTAATGGCTACTGGTGTTGTTCGCAGCATCGTGGTACCCTGATTTTAAATATATGCCTTGTGTTGCAACATGCGTCGCAGCATCGTGTGGCTTCGGCGTTGCAGGACGCGTTGCAGCGTTTGCGTGACTTTGTGAATGGTTTGGGAGGTGTTCCGGATGCGAGAATTGATTTGGGAATCAAAGGCAACGCAGCCTGTGGATTGGAGCGCAATTGGACGTTCGCCGAAGCCCAAAGGTCTTTGATGCTGCAGAAGCAATATTTGGAATTTTGCGTTGGAGGCGGAGCTTTACTGATCCTTTTGTTTTTTTTTGTGATTTGTTGTTGTGGATGAGTTTTGCTTTTTTTTTGTCGTTCTTACATATAGCTGATTTGTTGAATATGTCAGTTCTGTTGTTTTTATCTTCGTTTTTTCGTTTGCTTGTTGTGTTCTCGGTGGTGGGTCTTCATGCCCCAGGTGGTGAAGAGGATACTGAGATGATGGCAGATCATGTTTTTCGGCCTTTGCCAGAGACGGAAGATGCTTTTTTGGTGGAGCTGAACCAGAGGAATGTGGGTCCGAGCGATTATGCTACTGCTTTGCTTGTGGAGCACAGTTTGAATCGCCAACAGATTTTAGCCATTGCACCCATTGCTTGGGTCATGGAACAGATGTGGCTTAACCGGAGCAATCCGGACAATTGCATTGCGGATGGTGCGCGCAGTGAAAGGTGCAATTGTCTTTGGCTCGGAGCTGGTGGATCTGGAAAGACGTATGCATACAGCAAAGTATTGAGGCCACTCTTTCGACGTTTCTTTGGACAGGACGGTTATGTTGCTGGTGCTCCAACTCACGCTGCTGTTCGCCTCCTGGGGCCTGAGGCCAAAACTTTGCACAAGTGGGCCAATGTGCACAAGAGCAGCAGCTTGGATCGCCGCTCCTTGCGTTCGGCGAAGAGCAAGGGCAGCCCGATCGAAAAGAAGATCGAAGGCATCATGGCTATGCTGTTGGACGAGTTGTCGATGGTGCCTTCGGATGTGTACCATGCTGCTTCGCTTCGATTTGCCACTGTTCGACAAGCTCGACTTATGCTTGACATGGGCGACTACTTGAAGCAGTGGTTTGGGAAGGTGCCCATTGGAGTGCAAGTTGCTGACTTTCTACAACTGCGACCCACTGCGCAAGCATCCTTGTGCGAATGGTTGGATGCGCCACGAGCTACTGATCCTGCACCGCCTCAAGACCAACAAGACCAAAGCGATGCCGAAGAGGCCGTGGAGAAGGAGGCGGCTGAACGCACCAGCAATGCCTCAGAACTTGGACGGATTGCGTTCAAGGAATCGCTCCAGCGAGTTGTGCACTTCACTGGATCCGGTCGTTTTTCGAAGTGTGCATCCGGACAGCAGCTTGTGAGGATTCTTTTGTCCATGCGGCGAGGCGAACATCTGGAGGATGAATTGTGGGAAGCTTTGGAATCTCGAGTGATCAGCCGAGAGCAACTTTTTTCTGACAATTCCTTGCGCGCAAGGTTGTTGAGTGCTCACTGGGGCGGCCTGGCGTGGGAACACGTTGCTCGTTTACAGCATTTGCGGGTGGCTTGGGAAGCTCAACAGAGGTCCACAACTCTTTTCTTGGTGCAAGCTATTGATCGCGCCTCGGGGCCCACAGATTTGACAAGGGAGCAGAGCCTGAAGGCATTACAGGTTGTGAACATGACAAGAACGCAGTATCTCATGGGCATTTGCCCTTTGTATGAAGGGATGGCAGCACGTGTTAGTTGCATTTTGGACATGCCGATGCTGAGTCGAGAGTTGCCGGTCATTGTTCGCTCCATTAAGTTGCATCCGAAGGAACCTGTAATTTCAAACGGCAGTGGACGTGTCGTTTTGCAATATCAGCCGTTGGCCGTCTTGGTCGAGATCGATGACCCGGAATATCGTGCCATTGAATTGCCAGATGGCAGTGCTCCGAAGGGACACGTTTGGCTGCGTCCCGTTACATGTGATCAGGCCTGGGATCTTCCTGTTGGAGGCAATCAATTTATGCAGGTTCATCGCAAACAGTTGCCACTGGCACCTCGTCACGTTCTCACGCACTACGGTTTGCAGGGCATCACTGCGAGACAAGGGCTGGTTGCTTTCATGTCCAAACCATCCTGGATGAGTCAAGCGGACTATGGTTTGGCTATGTACGTGATGTTGTCAAGGCCAACCAAGCTGGAAGATCTGTGGATAGTGGATTTGCCGCCTCGCAATGTGTTCGAAAAGTTTCTGCACGAACACAATCCTCTTTTGGTGCAGCGGATGCGGGAGTTTGAAGGTCAGGCCTGCGTGGACGAGCGGAAGGCCTTGAAGTATGTGCATAGACTTTCATGGCAGTGCATCCCTTGGGTGTCACAGCATTTGTCTGCAGATGAAATGTCTGATGATCTTTTTGCTTAGCATTGCTGGCGGGGAGCTTCGTTAGCTGCCATGTAGCGATGTTTAGATTTACCGGATGTCTTTGTTCGACATGGTCGTCTTATTTCGACGGTATACTACACTTCGACCTGACGTATGTTTCTCGCGGTAGGGACTGTCCGAGCGAGGAGCAGGCGTTGTATCATGAAATTAGAGTTAGAAGATGTAAAACCTGACCTGACGTATGTTTCTCGCGGTAGGGACTGTCCGAGCGGGGAGCAGGCGTTGTGTCATGAAATTAGAGTTAGGACATGTAAAACATCTACCTGACTTCAAAGGCATCCCGTAAAACTGACATTAGACCAACACTGGAGCCGGCACATTCGTTGAGTTCATCTCTGGATCTCTACACGCAACATTTACCTTGATGAAAAAGAGAAATGCACTTCTCTGTGAAGTTGAATGGGGCTTGGGTGCCTTATGATCGACTTGCTGTGTCGTGTTGTCAAAAGGTTAACGTTTAGTGATGCTGAACTTTCATGTGCTCCAGGTGTGTTGCTTCCTTGCTGTTTGGGACTCGATGTTTTGTTATCAGTTCTTTTGTGGACATGTCCATGATGATGCAGTGACATGCAGTGAAGCAGGTGTCGTCCATGCCATCACGGTACCAATTTGTCTGTTTATCCACGTGTCTGAGATTTGTGATTGCACCAGTTTGTTCATTTTATATTGTTTCATGTTGTTTGATTCCAAGTTGAGCTGCATTTGTTTCATGCAAGAATGATATGAGCGAACGTGGTTCGATGCTGTGCGGGACGATCCTGACCTGCCGACATTTTTGAGTCGGGACCTTGAAGGTTTGGTGACGCTGAATTTTCGTCTCCTTGAAGTATGCTGTTTCCGTGTCGTCTGGAACATGTTTTTTTTCTCCAGATCGACGCGAAACGCTCAGGTGGCACTGGGATCATGGTTTCTTTCGTGTGAAGGACCGTCTGAGTTTGAAGCAACTGTGTGCTGTTAGTGTCAAAATGTCATCATTTCGATTGAAAGAACAGTTGGGCCGATCGAATTCTTGGCACTTGTTTAGTTTCAACCTTGAAAGCATCGCTGCCCCCCCGGGGCTCAAGAAACTTTTCTCGAGGTTTTTGTAGGGCCTGTCCGTGAGACCTCGTCAGTTTCAATTTGATCCTGTTCTGAACTCGCGATGGTCTTGACGGAGCTGCGGACGTGGGTAGGTCTGAGCAGTGCCGATGCGGTGCGTTTATTCGAGCAACGTGAGGAGGTCGAGCCGCATTGGGGCAGTCGTTGGGGCTTGAAGCCGTCAGCGATGGAGGTGCGGACATGTAGTTCACAACATGTGTACATTTTCAATTGTACGTCATGTTTGATAGTGTTCCCTGGGCATGTGAATGCAGGCCATTCTGCGAGCACAGCAAAGTGATCCATCGGGTGCTTCTGCCAAGGAGTTGGAAGCACACGAAATTGTCTTCACACCCGCGGGTGTGTTGAATTTGGTGGTATCTTAGCATTTGGTGATTTCGGGTTGGGTGTTTGTTCGTGTTTGTTATTTGCTGTGTCATGTTTGTGATTTCAGGTTTTTGTGTTCTTTGATGTTTCGTGATTGTTTTTCAGTTTTGTGCATTTTCGGGTGTTGTCCTCTAAGGCTGAGGGCAAACTGTGGCAATTCGAAAACTTTCCGGGATACTTTCGATTATACGACAAGTTGGCCATGGAGAAATTAGGGCCGGACGGCACATTGTATTATACAGTGATGCCGAATGCGTTTGCCATCCACTGATGTGGAGGGACAACGTGCTGTAGGGTCTGTCCGTGCATGTATCCTTCTGCTTCTCGGGCTTCTGTGAGGCCATTTGTTTGTCATGCGCTGTTAACAACACGTGGAACTGTTGTTGGCGATGTGCACAGAAACACGAGTGCTGCGAATTGATGCGCGGGACATTATATAGGTTGTTTATCATCTGATGGGATTGGGAAAGTGGATGCTTCCATTGCGCGGAAGTTCTTACTTACAAATTGCATATGCGTCTTTTGTTGCCATGTCTGTTGGTAATGTTTCTTGTGACAGTTTGTCTTGTTTGTCTTTTGAAGGACTCGGCATTCTGCGGAGTCTTCTATGCTGCTGAGGTGATTTGAATGTGTGTGATGCTCGAATATCTTGAACTCATGAAGATGACAGATATAATTTATAGCATCATGGTACCGGGTTTTTTGTTTTTGTTGACAAACTGTGTGGGAAATTGTATATTCAAATGAATAACATGTGGTTTTAGTCGGCGATTCACGGTACCCGATTTTTTTGAAGTGTGTTGATTTGATGTGTTCATTGTAAGCTTCACTGTTCCGTTTGCAGGTCTCTGCGACAATGGTGTCCATGCCCAGTGTCAAACTTAGCAATTGTGCTCTGAGTTTCGAAGTCGGAGAATGAATTCTTTGCATTGGATTGTGTGAGTGCGTAGCTCACTGCATCATGGTACCGAGCTTTTTTGTGCCATATATCTGAGATTTTCCATAGTAGAATGAAATAACGGCACATTGTATTATACAGTGATGCCGAATGCGTTTGCCATCCACTGATGTGGAGGGACAACGTGCTGTAGGGTCTGTCCGTGCATGTATCCTTCTGCTTCTCGGGCTTCTGTGAGGCCATTTGTTTGTCATGCGCTGTTAACAACACGTGGAACTGTTGTTGGCGATGTGCACAGAAACACGAGTGCTGCGAATTGATGCGCGGGACATTATATAGGTTGTTTATCATCTGATGGGATTGGGAAAGTGGATGCTTCCATTGCGCGGAAGTTCTTACTTACAAATTGCATATGCGTCTTTTGTTGCCATGTCTGTTGGTAATGTTTCTTGTGACAGTTTGTCTTGTTTGTCTTTTGAAGGACTCGGCATTCTGCGGAGTCTTCTATGCTGCTGAGGTGATTTGAATGTGTGTGATGCTCGAATATCTTGAACTCATGAAGATGACAGATATAATTTATAGCATCATGGTACCGGGTTTTTTGTTTTTGTTGACAAACTGTGTGGGAAATTGTATATTCAAATGAATAACATGTGGTTTTAGTCGGCGATTCACGGTACCCGATTTTTTTGAAGTGTGTTGATTTGATGTGTTCATTGTAAGCTTCACTGTTCCGTTTGCAGGTCTCTGCGACAATGGTGTCCATGCCCAGTGTCAAACTTAGCAATTGTGCTCTGAGTTTCGAAGTCGGAGAATGAATTCTTTGCATTGGATTGTGTGAGTGCGTAGCTCACTGCATCATGGTACCGAGCTTTTTTGTGCCATATATCTGAGATTTGCCATAGTAGAATGAAATAACGTGTTATACATGGCATCATGGTACTGAGCTTTTCTTCTTTAAACAACAATATTCAAGTGTGTTGGTTTGATATGTTCATAGTAAGCTTCACTGCTTAGTTTGCAGATGTATGCGACAATGATGTGTGCAGGAAGTCAGAGAACAAATGCTTTGCAGTGGATTGTGCGACTCTGCAGCAACAAACATAGTTGACCTCTTTACCTCTTTCCTGGGCTCAGACGTGAACGGAGAGATAAGATGCATTGTGCACAGAGTTAACATCCATATTCTTACACGTATGCTGAATGTTCGTGAAACAAGTGACGATTGGCAAACAGTTATCTTTAACATTTGTTGCATTTCTCGAGGTTTCTGTAGGGGCTGTCCGTGAGATCTCGAGAATTGCAGTGTTTGTTTACGATGCAGTGGATCTATGTGATGTATAGCAGTATAGCACGAAAAAACTATATGTGATGTTTTCATTGAAATGCGTGAGCAGTGGACAAAAAAATAATACGGGAATCATTGTACCGTTCAATTTTGTCTGGGCCGCTCGGCAATGGCCGCGTGGAGACCGCCGGAGGATGAGGAAGTGGCATGGGTGTTGGAAGTTGTGGGGTGCAAGCGATCCCATTTTGGAGACATGTCGGAGGATGAGTTCTGATACATCTATTCAAATGAATAACATGTGGTTTTAGTCGGCGATTCACGGGGCCCAATTTTTTTGAAGTGTGTTGATTTGATGTGTTCATTGTAAGCTTCACTGTTCAGTTTGCAGGTCTCTGCGACAATGGTGCCCATGCCCAGTGTCAAACTTAGCAATTGTGCTCTGAGTTTCGAAGTCGGAGAATGAATTCTTTGCATTGGATTGTGTGAGTGCGTAGCTCACTGCATCATGGTACCGAGCTTTTTTGTGCCATATATCTGAGATTTGCCATAGTAAAATGAAATAACACGTGTTATACATGGCATCATGGTACTGAGCTTTGTTTCTTTAAACGGCGATATTCAACTGTGTTGGTTTGATATGTTCATAGTAAGCTTCACTGCTCAGTTTGCAGGTGTATGCGACAATGATGTGTGCATGTCCAACTCAGGAGCCGTGTTCTCAGGCTTCGAAGAACACATTCTTTGCATTGAATTGTGCGAGTGCGTAGCAGGTTTGCGCATGGAGGTGTAAAGGTTACCGAGCTGTTGAGTTCGTTGTACCTTTGTGCATGTTTCCTTCGAGAACGGTGTGATGCATGTAATTTGCAGCCTCATGGTACCAAGCCTTTTTTGGCAATTTGTGTGGGAAATTGTATATTAAAATGGAATCACCTGTGTCTTCCCGGCGAATTACGGTACCGTTCTTTTTCAAACCGATTTTGTGTTGATATGTTCGACAATGATGCTCATCCCAAGTGTCAAACTCACGAATTGTATTCTCAGTTTCGAAGTCCAGGATGATGCAAGATGAAACAAGGCATTGCGCGATGATGCAAGATGGTGTTGCCGAGCTGCTGAGTTTTTTGTTACCGAGCTTTGTTAAACTAGTTTTTTGTTGATGCGTTCAGCCTTCAGTTTGCAGGTCTGTGCGACAGTGGTTCTTTGCCATATCAAACTCATGAGTGGTGTTCTCAGTTTGGAAGTCAGAGAACAAATGCTTTGCAGTGGATTGTGCAACTCTGCAGCGACAAGCATAGTTTACCTCTTTAGCTCTTTCCTGGGCTCAGACGTGAACGGAGAGATAAGATGCATTGTGCACAGAGTTAACATCCATATTCTTACACGTATGCTGAATGTTCGTGAAACAAGTGACGATTGGCAAACAGATATCTTTAACATTTGTTGCACTTCTCGAGGTTTCTGTAGGGGCTGTCCGTGAGATCTCGAGAATTGCATTGTGATGATGTCAGTGTTTGTTTACGATGCAGTGGATCTATGTGATGTATAGCACAAAAAAAATATATGTGATGTATTCATTGAAATGCATGAGCAGTGGACAAAAAAATAATACGGGAATCATTGTACCGTTCAATTTTGTCTGGGCCGCTCGGCAATGGCCGCGTGGAGACCGCCGGAGGATGAGGAAGTGGCATGGGTGTTGGAAGTTGTGGGGTGCAAGCGATCCCATCTTGGAGACATGTCGGAGGATGAGTTCCGATACCTCTTGAAGCCGCGGCGGAGGCAAGTTGCATTGGCACTGCATCCGGACAAGCAAGACGCGCATAGGAGAGGGACGATGGCGGAAGCACAAATGAAACGCTGGAATGTGGCCTGGGAGAGAGTGATGCACAGTGTTCCGCCACAGTTCAAAGAGGGTGGTGCAGGCGTCGTCCCGGCGCGAACTCAAGCTGCGCTGAATGCTCATCCTGGGATGTGGGAAGAACCGTGGTGTGTTCCTGCTTGGCTGGTTCGGAAGTGGAAACGCAGAGGTGAAGGGCATCAGGAGTCTGAGTCGGGAGATGGCGTTCCAAGTGGTTCGCAGCAGCCTGGCGCGCAGTCTGCACAGCAAGGAACAGGTGCCGGTGCTACTAGTTCGGATGGTGGTATGCCCAGTGCTTCAGCGGGGAAGGATCCAGAAGGTGATGCCGGCACTTCGCAGTCAAATTCGACCAACGCTTCGGATCCTTGCGCTGGTACCCCTCACTGTGTTGATTTTGATACCAAGCATCGTGGAATGCCTGCTCAAAAACTGCTCGAATACAAGTTTTTGTATTCCGCGCACGGAAAATGCGTTCAGTGCATGGATTACTACGCGAGGCAGCCCGGTCTTGATGTGACCTGTAAATCTTGCAACATGAATGCTCGTGAATGGGCTGCCAGTTCCACGAGTAGGAAAAGGCGTACCACGGTACCCATCCCAGATGATGTGGAACGATGGCTGCAACGCCACAACTTGTGAGAATGTGTATATAGTTTGTTTCGGTGGCCAACATTCCACCCGCATTTAAAGAGACTGTTCGTGATGCGTGGTGGTTAACATAAGTGCCATATTGAAATCTGAAATGCGTCCTTCCTTCTACTCTACAATAGTTCAGCAGTTGACAGTTGACAGCCATTGAAAATGTCGAATGCATTTTGCGCGCAGACATCTTGCAGTGATGGCATGCATTGAGAGGCACTGTTATGATATGTTTTGCCTTCATCATTAGTTTGTTTGGAGTCGTGGTGAATTCTTGAATGTTGTGTCCCACTGAGGTTGGGCATTCAATGATGTGAGCCTGAAAGAGGCGTCCAATGCTTGCGCAGTTTCTTGCTTCTGTGGTTGTGTCGTAGTGAATCCTTCGTGATTTTGTTGTGTGTTGTAGAATGCTCGAGTTGGGCTTTCCAAGCGCATGCTCCTGTAGCTGTTTATGGGTCTGTGATCATGGTTCTCGACAATGAATTCACACGAGCTTGCAGTGCGGTTGATGTATTGGAGCACTACAACAAAGCTAAATATTTATATATAGCACGTGTATTGTTTGGATGGTCAGCATTCCTTGATGTACATTGTTCGTGATGTGTGGTGGCATACTGTAACATTGTAGAAGAACTCGGTTCGCGACATGTCGAGCCCCAGTGTTAACGTCCAAGATCAACAAAAAATTATCGAGTTCCTGCTTTTGAAGTATCAGAATTTGCTGTTGGAGCTTGGGGTGGTGCTCGATGTAGAGGACGCATCCTTGGAAGTTGTCGAGAAAGCTGCCCGAGATGTCATGGCCTCTTATCCACAGCCTCCGAGGAACGACAGTGAAGAAGAACATTTGCGTGAACTGAAAGGATTATTGCTGGAGTTTGAGGATTGGAAGTTGTGTGATGTCAGGGACAGACAGCACATGTTGATCTCAAGGTTCAGAAGTTTGCTTTTCAATTTGGGATGCAACGACAAGACATGCAAGGAAGTTTCGTTGCGCAGTTTGGAGGATGAGCTGGGGAATCTCGAATCGCGTGGTCATTCACTCCGATTTGTTTCGAACTTGAAGTGCATTCTTCGGGACTTCAAAGCTTGGAGATTGCTATGTGAAGGCAGGCTCAGCACTGAAATGGATGATGTTACTTTTTGGCGCAAAACGAGATTTGCACCACCGTCTCCAAGCGATGAAGACTCGGATAGTGAAGGTCCGACACTGTGTCGCGACGCTCCACATTGCAATGACTTCGATGAGAAGTATCCTCTGGGACTTGTTACCTCGAGAAAAAGAAAGAAGACGATGACCGAGGACAAACAGATGGAATACAAATTTCTTTTTGCTGCTCAAGCTCATTGTTTGAGGTGCCTGAAATATTATGCGGCGCAGCCCGACTTTGATGTCAATTGTGAGTCGTGCGGGAAAAATGCTCGTGATTGGGCACATTCAAACACGACTTACAACATTCCCACAGAAATAGACGCGTGGCTCCGTGACAAGAACCTTTAGAAGCGTTTCACAGTGACACTGTAGGAACTGTCCGTGTGTCACCTGAAGCTGCCCGGGATGTGATTCTTTTTTGGTATGGATCACTGGTGTGAGAAAAAAGATAACTGCTTTGTGGAGTGGCATCATGGACCCGAGTAAAATAATGTAACGTGTATCATTTGAAACATCAGGGTACCGAGCATTGTTTCCGAAGTACATGGAAATTTCTGTAATAATTTGACACAGCACATGTCATTCGCATGAACATGGTGCCGAGCTTTTCTGATGTAGTTTCGTTGCCGTGTCCTGGATGGTGCTCCAGGTGAGTCTTGTTAGGGCGAGAAGCAGCAGTTGAGTCTTGAGCTTGCAGGTCGTTCTCCAGAGGATGGTGCTTTCTTATCGCGAGCTCAGGAGTCGCGATCCCAGTCTCAAGCTTCACAGAGTATGCTTTGCATTGCTCCATGCTAATTCGCTGTTTCACGTTCAGACCATGTTGACCTCTTTGCTCCATAGATGTGAATTAAACATTCCTGGGCTCAGATGTGAGCAAATGGACAAGACAAGAGTCACGCATAGGGAAACAAAATACCATGCAGCATGAGCAAAGTGCAGGCATGCTTGACAAGACACCCCCAACGGTTGTTGCATTTCTCGAGATTTCTGAAGGAACTGTCCGTGAGATCTCGAGATTTTAAACTGCCGGATGATGTTCTCCAACATGTAGTCGTCGAAAAATTGAGTCATATCCGTTCTTTGTGCAATGGAGCCGCCATGTGGGTGGAGGCACTTTGCTCGTATAGGCTCGTTGACGCCAAGGTCACGGATCTCGAGATACCATGGGGAAAGCCTCCCGAACCAAAAAGCGGCGTCCCAACCTTTGATCCTCAAAGCTACATGCAACTGGTGTTTGGGTCCCTAGAAGATCCAGCTGCACGGCTGGATGTTCCAGGGACCCAAACACCAGCCGCACGTGTGCTTTGATGTATTCAAGCTGTGGTTTAAAGCTTGTTTGTATGTGGAGGCTGGTGAGCTATGGCGCATTCATCGGAGTGCAGAACCTTGCGACAGCCCTTGTTGAATCGTGTGAGGGAGCGCTACGATGGCATCTTTTGGGTGGCCACAATCCACACCATTTGATTGTCGCATTCAATCGATCGTGCCGGAGCAGGTTGTCTATATACGCATGCTTGCAAGTTGGAGCTCCAGGTGGGTGGTCCACCTGAAGCGTCATCTTGCCATGTATGCATATGTATACATATATATGCTTAACTTGTTTGCGGGCTTTCAGCTGAATGTGGTTCAACGAATATGGATATCCTTGCAATGGGTTCAATGATGACATCTCATCTCAGATCGGATCTCATCATTGCACCGGATGTGATGGAGAACAGACTGCACATGGGACAACATTGGGTTGCTGAAACAATTTCTACATTTACAGGATGTCTTTGTCGAACGTTGCTGTCTTGCCTGCTGCCAATGCGGTTGCGTCCATCACCGTGCACGTCTCTTGCACTGTGATTGACGCAACCGCATTGGCAGCTTTCCGAGAAAGTACCGCTCATCGAAGTCCGAGCTGGCGAAGATTCGATTACCATTGTAGTCGCACCTTCTCCGGCTCGGACTTTGATGAGCGGTTACGGGAATGAAAGGAAACAAGACGATCACCGAGAACAAGCGGATGATCCGCCGGAGGTAGCTGAAGTATTATGCGGCACAGCCAAGCTGCAGCCATGCGATTCTTTTTGACATCCATCGCTGATGTAAGAAAAGGATGGCAGCTTTGTAGAGCGGCATCATGGCACCGGGTAAAGCAATGTAACATAAATCTTTTGAAGCATGAGCTGGGTACCCTATTTGCAGGATGAGCTGGGGAATCTCGAATCGCGTGGTCATTCACTCCGATTTGTTTCGAACTTGAAGTGCATTCTTCGGGACTTGAAAGCTTGGACATTGCTATGTGAAGGCAGGCTTAGCACTGAAATGGATGATGTTACTTTTTGGCGCAAAACGAGATTTGCACCACCGTCTCCAAGCGATGAAGACTCGGATGGTGAAGATCCGACACCGTGTCGCGACGCTCCACATTGCCAGGACTTTGATGAGAAGTATCCTCTGGGATTTGTTATCTCGAAGAAACGAAAGAAGACGATCACCGAGGACAAACGGATGGAATACAAATTTCTTTTTGCTGCTGAGGCTCATTGTTTGAGGTGCCTGAAATATTATGCGGCACAGCCCGACTTTGATGTCAATTGTGAGTCGTGCGGGAAAAATGCTCGTGATTGGGCAGATTCAAACACGACTTACAACATTCCCACAGAAATAGACGCGTGGCTCCGTGACAAGAACCTTTAGAAGCGTTTCACAGTGACACTGTAGGAACTGTCCGTGTGTCACCTGAAGCTGCCCGGGATGTGATTCTTTTTTGGTATGGATCGCTGGTGTGAGAAAAAAGATAACTGCTTTGTGGAGTGGCATCATGGACCCGAGTAAAATAATGTAACGTGTATCATTTGAAACATCAGGGTACCGAGCATTGTTTCCGAAGTACATGGAAATTTCTGTAATAATTTGACACAGCACATGTCATTCGCATGAACATGGTGCCGAGCTTTTCTGATGTAGTTTCGTTGCCGTGTCCTGGATGGTGCTCCAGGTGAGTCTTGTTAGGGCGAGTCTCAGCAGTTGAGTCTTGAGCTTGCAGGTCGTTCTCCAGAGGATGGTGCTTTCTTATCGCGAGCTCAGGAGTCGCGATCCCAGTCTCGAGCTTCACAGAGTATGCTTTGCGTTGCTCCATGCTAATTCACTGTTTCACGTTCAGACCATGTTGACCTCTTTGCTCCATAGATGTGAATTAAATATTCCTGGGCTCAGATGTGAGCAAATGGACAAGACAAGAGTCACGCATAGGGAAACAAAATACCATGCAGCATGAGCAAAGTGCAGGCATGCTTGACAAGACACCCCCAACGGTTGTTGCATTTCTCGAGATTTCTGAAGGAACTGTCCGTGAGATCTCGAGATTTTAAACTGCCGGATGATGTTCTCCAACATGTAGTCGTCGAAAAATTGAGACATATCCTTTCTCTTTTCAATTGTGCCGCAATGTCGGTGGAGGCACTTGGCTCGTATAGGCTCGTGGAGGCCAATATCTCGGATCTCGAGATAACATGGAGAAAGCCTTCCAAAAGAGCGGCTTCCCAAGATTTGATTCTCAAAGCAAGTGTGGTGCTGGTGTTTCGGTCTCAGGAGGACCCAAATTTGACTCGGACGTTGCGAGATGTCATGACACCTGCCGGCTCTGGCTCCTTCAAAGATGTTTACGTTTTGAACGACCATCTCCTGGTGGTGAAGATGATGTTGCAGCATCGCAATAGTGCAACGTGGCCACATGGAGGTGCAGAAGAAGAGCAGACACGGTTTGACATGTACCGTGACATTCTTTCGGACCGGATGGCCTTTTGTTATGGTCAGGTGTATCTTCGAAGTAGCTTTCCAGCTGGCAAGGATGGTATTTTGTTCCAAGGAAACAGCTTCTATGGTCAGCAAGTGCCGCGCTTGTCGGCTGCAGATGCTGTCGCATCTATCACGGTGCAGGAAAAGTTGATGGCGGTCGGATTGGAAAAGATTGGATTACTAGTTTCCAAGCAGCAGTGTGACGCCGACGGATGGTGGGAAGTCTGCAAGGAGTACATGAACATGTTGGAAGTGTTGTTCGAGTTCATGAGAGAAGGCATTTTTCCGTGGGACGCAAAGCTGGACAACTTGGGCATCGCGCAGAGGGGCGTGGTCGGCAAGTGGGTGATGCACGATCTGGATGGTTTGCGTGCCGTGGGTGAGGAAGACAAATACAAGAATTTGGGAAAAGGGATGAGAATGATTTTCCAGAACCTTGCTTCCCAGGATCGAGTGTTCCTTGCCGAACTGCAGAAAAAAGGTTTGATGCGAGACTCTTGGCACGAGCAATTCCAGAAATTGCTTATAACCTGGTCTCCACACACCTCGCACATCATGAATTGGGCAGTTTGTATTCAGATCGGAAACAGTTGCTTGCATAAATATATATATATAAGGTTTTCTTTGTTTAATTCTATGTTGTTAAGCTTTTTTTGTACTTCTATTAATCAAGAACGAACAATGTCAAAGTGAAAATCAGGTTTCGACCGGGAGAGCCGACAGAATGGACGAAGTTTCAAGATGCTGTGTCAGCTATGATCGTTGATTTTCGAGCAGTTCGTCGGAGCAATGTTCCATACCCTTGGCACGAGGACAAACTTCCACGAACGCAGGCTGCTGGTGCTGCTTCCAGCTCTTCTTTTCATCCCAACGTCGCTAGATCTCCAGAGGTTGTTGTGCACGAGGTTCCACCTCCGAGGGAGATCGACACGTGGGGTGACACCATTTGTGTTGAACTTCTCCGGGAATCGCCGCTGGTGGTTTGCAACGTTGAAATGAGTACTGCTAGAGACGCCAAAGCACGGTGATGCTGCATTGTTTTGCATCTGAAGAGCCGACACAATGGGAGGTTGTCATCTTGGCGGCGCCCAAAGAGCTTTTGATGGAGAAAGGAGAAGCCAACGTGGCGGTGTGCAAAAGACATGGTGAAATTAGGCCCGAGAGCGAAAAACTGATCTCCGGCAGTTATTTGGTTATCAATGAGTGTCTCCACCCGTCTTCGCGCATGGCTTCTTTTTTGTGGAACCAGATCACATCGGAGTGCTTCAATCCTTCACTGCAGCATTTTGCGCAGGAAGTGCTGGGTCGCATGGATTTGGACGTGTGGCAAAATGAAGTCATGAAACAAGGATTGCAAGACCTCGAAGAAAAATTTTCGGTTCGGGCTGGTCAGAAAGGTTTCTTTGCGAGGCCCAGTCGGACGGTTGAGACGCTGACGTTGGCGGAAAGACAGGAACAAGGCCACCTACCATTCGAACGTGACAAGAATAAGGATGGAAAACGTCAAAAAAGAAAGCAAAATTTGCTAGACGGCGTTTTGGACCACAATGTTCACTCGGTCACGCAGGAGTTGCCTTGGAAACCGGTGGTTTTCGCTTTCATGTTATTTCCGTTGTTTTGGGCTTTTAGAGATGGATTTTTGCTTATTTGGCTTATGATTTTAATTGAAGTGTTTGACACCTGATGACTGGTGCTGCATGTGCAGGATTTGATGCGAACTATTCATTCTATGCTGCCTCTGGAAAGAATTATTTGGGCCAACCGAGAGACGCCTACTGGGAAAGCCTTCTGTTGGGAAGCTACAAGTCAATGCGCCTTCAACTTTGCGAGTTCAGATCGCCTCATTGCTTTGCTGAAGCACGTGAAGGCCGAGTGGTTCTATCCCGGAGAAAAAGAAGAAGAGGGGCGCATTCGCTATGGGATTCGCCCAGATTATCTCAACGATGTGATCGAAGGCGTTTTCTGTTGGATGCTTCCAAGAGCTGGACCTTTTCTGCAGAATGTGGAGCATTGGCAAAAACACCTCTTATTCCATGACTTCAAAATGACAGCGCAGGAGATCAAGCAACTGGTTCGAGCAGCTGTGATCGTGACTTTGTTTCGATGGCAATGGATCACTTGTTGGATTGAAGTGAACAAATCTGTGCGAGATGATGCGCGGGATGCGCTGTAGTGTCATATGTTTGTTGCAGTGTGCTCTTGCGTTCAGTACTCATTGTCGAAGGGACTGTCCGAGCAATGGGGAAAAAACGTAGTTCCACTGGCATCGTCTGCACGATCGCGCTTCGCGGCTCTTGCTTCAAAAAAGACAGAGGTTAGTGGTGCATCTCTGTGCGAATGGTGTGTTGTCGTCAATCGAAATATATTCTAGACGAATGCACGCATTTGAGACGCGGCATGCGGCACTGAGGATATCACGGCGTGACGCTGCATCTTGCATGAATGAGCCGTCTCAGTGAGGCGCAGCTCTCATACTCGTGCAAGTAGTGTAATATGTGTTAATTCCAGTACAGCTTGGTACCGAGCTTATTTAGTTGTTTATATGAGAATTGTCATGAAAAAAAGAGATGTTTAGAGTTCGCTCTGTAATTTGTCAGGGTGAGAAGCAGCGGTTCAGTCTTGAGCCTGCAGGTCGTTCTCCAGAGGATGGTGCTTTGTTATCACAAGCTCAGGAGTCACGATCCCAGTCTCGAGCTTCAGCGAGTATACTTTGCGTTCCTTCTGGGGAATTCATTGTTTCCTGCCCAGACCATGTTGACCTCTTTGCTCCATACATTGATGTGAATTAATCATTCACGGGCTCAGATGTGAGCAAAGTGTAGGCATTCATGGGCATGGACAAGACAAGAGTCACGCAGCGGGAAACAACGTACCATGTAGCATGAGCAAAGTGTAGGCATGCGGAACAAGACACCCCCAAAGGTTGTTGCATTTCTCGAGATTTCTGAAGGGGCTGTCCGTGAGATCTCGAGATTTGACGCCATGGACGTCCGCTACTCTGCTTCCGGTGAGCTGGTCGTGTCTCTGCCAGCCGATGTGGTGGAAGGGAAACCGGTTAGGTGGATTAAAGGCAACATCGCCGCTGGAATTGGCATGTCTCGACATCGACAGAGATTGTTTTTGCACGAGGCATTGCTCGGCGACGATTACACGTTTGCTTGTGCCTCTGGACCATTGGTTGTGCAGCTCGTGATTTTGCCATTTGTGACTCATGATCCGGTGGCCATGTCTGAATTGAACTTGGCTGCCACTGAAAACAATGAAATGGCGGTGGAGGAAATGTTGCAATTGCCTTTGGATCCAAACCAGGACGACTTTGATGGTGTGACACCTTTGTGTGCTGCTGCCGAAGCAGGAGCAGCGAGGACTGTTTGCTTGTTAGTCGAAGCCATGGCCGATACCGAGCGGGTGGGGCAGCGGCAAAGGACGCCGTTGCATCTCGCAGCTCAAGGCGGCCGGGATTTTGTGGTGAAGCTGTTGCTGGAGGCATCCGCGTCGACAAAGACCAGAGATGTATACGGGAGAACGGCGTTGCATGTCGCAGCGTGCAATAACTTCAGCCGGCAGGTTGCACTTCTGCTCCAGCACCGTGCAGCGGTGAGCCCAAGCGATCGATGGGGTCAGACACCTCTGTTTCTGGCAGCGGAAGAAAATGATGTGATTACTTGCAGGCTGCTGCTGGATGCAAGAGCGAATATGAGGGCAAAGGATTGCTACGGGGACACTCCACTGCATGCAGCGGTGCGTGGATGCTGCTATGAGGCTGCCGAGCTTTTGGTCGACTTGGTTGAGGAAACGCCCTTGAAAGTGAGGAGTGCCAAGTGGTAGTTTATTTTTTTTAGTTGCAAAATTATTGCTGACGGTGATGCTATAGGAACTGTCCGTGCATCACGCAGCGTGATTCTTTGCGCACGGCATTGTTTTCATTGCAAGCAGCGTGATGCTTCTCGACCTTCTAAGAGTGATAGGGACTGTCCGTGCTGTGGATGGTCGCAGAAGGTATGTTGCGTCCTGAAAAATGTGTCGATGCACCTCTATTGACTATTGCAAATGATGTCATCCACGGAAATCTGCAATTTCCGAGTTGGCTCTTGCGCCAGTTTGGTACCGGCCTCGGTTTTTGATGGATGTGTTTGGTCTTGGAGTGAATCAAATTCCCGGAATTCGTCATAGAACCATTTGCCTGGAAACATGTGTGGTACAGTGACGGCATGCACATTCATGGCTGCACCGCGTGAACATAACGTTCTTGCGCACACATCCGTTGATTTCGGGTCTGTGTTGGTTTGTGCATGCTTTTGGATATGTTTCGGCACATGGCATTCTGACAACAACCATGTACAGCATGTCGTGCAATCTGCAATTTCCGAGGTGGCTCTTGCGCCAGTTTGGTACCGGCCTCGGTTTTTGATGGATGTGTTTGGTCTTGGAGTGAATCAAATTCCCGGAATTCGTCATAGAACCATTTGCCTGGAAACATGTGTGGTACAGTGACGGCATGCACATTCATGGCTGCACCGCGTGAACATAACGTTCTTGCGCACACATCCGTTGATTTCGGGTCTGTGTTGGTTTGTGCATGCTTTTGGATATGTTTCGGCTCAGCATGCAAGCCGCTGCGGTCATTCATTCGTGCGGGACTGTCAGTGAATGGGGCGACAACCGTGTAAAGTCGAAGAGTTTTGGCTGTCCAAATAAAGCTTGCGTGAATTTTTTGTCGCTTCGAAATGGCCCGCACAAAGCAGACGCGGTGGATGAAGCCGCAACGGTTGCGATGGCCGAGTTGAGCGAATGTTTGCAGCAAGAGGACGAAAATGGGCACAGGATTGTCGGCTTGAGATATAGAGCTGATGTGTCTGCTTTGAAAGACGCGGTCACGTTGCTGCGAGCATCCAACTTGTCGCTTGGGAGCATCATGTTCTTGCTGCGAGCATCTAACTTGTCGCTTGGGAGCATCATGTTCTTGGCAGGTTTTCTTCACATCCTGTACTGGTCGTGGCCAACGATGACTGCGGTCGGTCACCATGTTGCTGGAATGCACTGCTTCGAATCAAATTCGATGCTGGTGCAAATTGGATCGCGCCAAGGCCAAATGTTACTTGATGGATGTTGGAAAGAGGTTGCATGACCTCTATGACAAAGTGTGTTGCCATCAAGGACGCTCTTTGATGTTGCGGAGCCACAAGAGAAAGCGAACTGGTGCTTTCCCAAACCCGACCATGAACCCTATGATGCGTAGAGGAAGTCGGCAGCAATGGCAGCATCTGGTGGATGATGTCAAAACTGGTGCATGGCAGAACATGTGTCAAAGCGCTGCAGTACTCATTGAAGAGAGCATCGGAAGCAATGGAATCAAAGTGTGCTACAAGACCCTTTTCGACATCATGGCGCGGTTTGATTCCACTTTGTACTCTGCCAGCTGGACGGCATCTGCCTCGCATTACAACACCGTCCATTTCATTCGAACTTTTATGTTTGCCATGGACTTGCATTCCGATCAATCGTCTGCTGACTGGGATTTGTTGAGCACCATGGGCACCGGAGTGAGAGATTCCAGCATTCCTGTCAAGACGCATGCCGTTGCAACGTATTGCGCTCGGCGTATCAGCCTCGAGCTGGGTGAGCCTTATGGCATCGAGGATCTCTGTTGTTTTCTTTGTATGTTGAAGAAACGTGATGGATGAGGTCGAATTTGCTTTGGCAAGATTTGTTTTGATTTTTTGAGATCTTCCTACTGTTGGAACTGTCCGTGTAGGAACGACGTTTCCATCCTTGCTGACAGAGCTGTGCCTGTGAAGAGAAAAGCTGCACGTGGCTCTGTGTTTATTTGGCTTGCAGCTAGATGTAAGAACTTAAACTAGCTGTTTGTGGATGCTCATTGTGAATTGTAGTTGTGTGCTTGCACTTCCTTGCCAAGATGTTGTCCTTTCACGGTGTTTGCGTTGATTGCTTCACGGTGTAGGCTCAAATCTGTTGACCAATTTGGGCATCATGTGCGAGCAAGATGTGTCAACAAAAACGAAAACAGTTGCATGTAGAATGTCAAACAAGCCACGGTTTTCTGTTGGGACTGTCCGCGAGACCGCGGCTTGTGCAAGAGCGATTGATTCCTGCAACATAGCGTAAAATCGATTTCAAACACGCACTGTTATAATTTGTTTCTCACTTGCCTTCTTTGCTGCTGCATGCACATATTCGCGGGCCTCTTGTCACCGCGGTCTGAAAACATGTCTTTGCAAGAAGTGACTTTGGACCGCATTACGAAGAGCAACACCCACATGGTCATGGT